AATGTCAGTGCATTACAGCAAATGAAAGCAGCCAGATTCAGAAGGCTTCATGCTGTATGATTCATCTATATGGCATTGTGGTTATGGGAACAGAACATTGATGAATGGCTGCCAGGGGCTAGGGGTGGGAGGAGGAGTTGGCTCCAAGGAGCACAAAGAAATCTTGGAGATAATGATAATATTCTATATGTTGATTGTGGTAGTGGCTACACAACTGCACGTATCTGTCACAACTCACAGAACCCTACGTGCTAAACAGGTGAATTTTACTGCGTATAAAGTATCCTTTTTTTTTTAAGAATTTATTTATTTGACAGAGAGAGAGAAAGCAAGCACAAGCAAGGGGGAGCATGCAGAGGGAGATGGAGAAGCAGACTCCCCGCTGAGCAGGGAGCCTGATGCCGGGCTCGATCCCAGGACCCTGCGATCATGACCTGTGCCGAAGGCAGACGCTTAACCAACTGAGCCACCCAAGCATCCCTATAAAGTATACTTTAAAAATACTTAAAAATAAGCAAGCAATGACTTAATTTTAATTTACCAACAAGACCTGTCCAACCTTCTACCTTTAGCAGAATTATGCTTAAACCAAACACACTGACAGCTTGCCTATTTAAAAATACAGAGAAGATTCTATAAGCCCAAATGATAGTATACGGTTACTCTACAGGACTTTAAGAATAGGCAACAAAAATTTGGCTAGGGAACAAATAAAAGTAACTTGCATCTGTACTCAAAAACAAAACAAAACAAACAAAAAAACACCTCACCATAAAAATAAGCTTATTTTTCAAATCTGGCTTTGAGGTGCACTATGGCATGGAAACTTGGGACTAACACTCATAAGGCAAGGAGCCAGGTGCCCAACATAGTCTGATGCATCATATCAACCAATCTGAAGAGGCAAACTACTAAAATGACTCAGGATGACTATTCTAGATTCACAATAATGAAGAAGCCAACAGGATTTTCTTAATCCCATATTGCCTTGGGTCCTGACACTGAGCAGAATTCATCAATATACACAGGGTAAGGCAAAGTCATTTCACAGGTGGAACTATAAGAGAAATAAGTTGGAATAAAACTTGGAATAAAAGAGAAAGGGTTAAGAATATAAGTTTTAGGGGCACCTGGCTGGCTCAGTAGATGGAGCATGTGACTCTTGATCTCACGGTTATGGGTTTGAGGCCCACACTGGGCATAGAGATTCCTTAAAAAAAAAACTACAAAGAATACAAGTTTTATTTCACCATACCTGTTGGCACATATACATACTATTTTGTACTGAACTGAACACACTATCATCCTAGTCGTCTTCTGTCTTACTCTGTCTCACTGTGAATATAAATGGCTCTGCCTTTCCTCCTTCCCTCATCTGTTTCTGTCTTCCAGAGAAATAGATCATTTTAATCTCCCTGAAGCTACAGGGTCAGATGGAGGTAGCTGTATAATAACAGAAAATACGAGGAGTTGAATTTCCAGTCTGGGGTGTCCCTGAGGGTCCAAACTTGGACTCTGAGACCATTACAAAACTGACCTGAGTTTCTGAGTCAAGTACAGAATCATCCTCATCTCTGTGTGGACTGACATTAGTATCCACTACACCCAACACAGATACAAGCGCCAATAAAACATATTTTGAAGAAATATGCAGGCACTCATTCTAACAAATCCCAGAAAATCTCCTTTCTGAAAGCAAGAACTTGCCTCTTACAGTAGACCAATGATTTGGTAGATATAGTTTTAAGAGCCTATATCTACACCCAGAGCAGCCAAGATTTTAATACTAAGAACACCAAAATAGGTGATAACAATCAACCTTGCAAAATAAATAAATAAAAACAAACGAAATTTCAAGAAGTACCACCCCACACAGAATTATTAACCCATACATCATGACTTATAGTGTATATTCACAAAGTAAATGGGAATTCCTCTGTGAGCAAACAAATACTTTCAAGGGTTATATAATCAGAGTAATGCCTAATTTTCATTGGTAACTCTGGGATACTAAGGGCATATACAATTTATTCACCCAAGTTGGGTTAGTCTGCATCAGTTTCCAAGGCTTTCATCAGAGAAGGTCTAACCTTCGAGATATTTCTTACCTCAGTCTATTTCAAGTATTATTAATAGGCCCCCTGGAGCTTATCATTGACTCAAGCACCTCGTGGCCTAAGCAAAGTCTGCCAAGAAAGAAAGGTCTCTAAGTCAAAAGCAGCATCAAGGCACCACAACCTGAAGTATAAATCATTTACTGTGACCTTGTTGGCAGAGGAGGAGAAAAATCAACCACCAATATCACCTGGGGGTTTCTTCCAACATGCCAAGATGGTAATTCACAGTTGGTCAAGAGGCTGTGGCCAAACAAAAGGGAGAAAGAAAGCAATTCTCCGGATAATTCATACTGTGCTTATATAACAGATGGATATTTTAATGAAACAATTCAGATAATTGTACCACTCTCCATTTCACAGAAGGACAATCAGTCACAAAGTAAATTGTTCAGCTACTGGCCGCTCCAGTCTCACATTCTGAATATAACCTTTTACGTACCTTAAGAGCTCTTCAGAGCATGGAGGGACATACTGTCACTCCACGGAAACTGACTTGTAAAAGAGTTCCTGAGCCAATAAAGGTCCCTTGTCTTGATTAAAACAAAGAGATAGTTTCTCAACAGAAGGTTTGTTTGGCTTCAGATCTTCAAGCAGCTTAATCTTTGGCTGAATTTGTCTCATACTGAGTATACCTATTCAATTCAACTCATTGCCAGGTCCATAAACAGGGACGAATGCCTATATTGCCTATGCTGGTGTCGTTGTTGTTAAAAACCTCATAGCTGTCATCTCCTTCCTCTCCTATTTCAAGAGATTACTGAATGTGAAGAGCATATAAAGTGAGAAGTTGTACTTCACAATCTGGGATGGTAGTTAAGATAGAAGGAAAGGCACCAAGAAGGTCAGTCTCAGAAGGGATCAGAAAAGTGGTTACTTTGTATGAAAACGAGACCTACCAGAGTGACCTCAAAGCAGGTGCTTTTCTCAGGGCATTATTAAAATATACACAGCAAGGACCAGATTCAGGTAGCACAGTCACCTTAGAAGAAACAGGGCTACTGAGTTGCACTAAGAAAACTGTGTTTTGATAGACTAGTGATTCAGTAAAGAAGCACATGGACCAGAAACTGGATTCTATTTCTCTATCATCAATGAACCCAAGAAATGGTTCCTTCCAGAAACCAGATCTCAATCCCCTTAACATCTCAAATATACTTGAAAAATAAATATTCACCTTCTCAAAGAGTCCAGAAACTTAAAATAATGAATATGGCCCTCTTAGCATCTGTCTTATTTATATTCAGCTCCTTATTAGGTGAGATATAAAGCTCTGGAATTTAAGTCTGAAAAATCTATGCCTAAGGGCAACTTATTTCTTTTCTAATCTTGCACAAGTAACAAATTTCTAAGCTTCAGATTCCTCATCTGTAAAATGGGAATTACAACACTACTTGCCACACCTACTTCAAGAATCACTGCTGAGACTCACATAGTGGAAGACAAACATAAGAATTTTTAAACAGCAAAGGAGTATACAAATGTTGGTTGCTACCTTAGGTGGGGCACTATTATAAGCAGGAAAAAAAAAAACAGATACAAATAGGATGAAAAGAAGAGAAGGTTCTTCCATGTGAAAGAGAAGGGTTACAAACACGGTGAGGAATAATTTTAGGCTACTGGCTAATACATTCAGTGAAGTGGTATGACACAAAATGGAATTATTATTTAGAAGTGGATTCTCATGCCAACATTCACTTTGTACACACAGAAGAAAAAGAAAAATAAGAAAGATTAGGAGTGGGTGTCCAGCTCTCAGCCCACCAAAATAACTGATGAAGGTCCATTCGGGGAGGGAGGGTGGAGTTAGTTTTGACAGTATATATTGAACATTCCTGCATAGGTAAGAATACTCTTGCATAAGATGAGAGAAGTAAAAGTGTTATTACTAAGCACACCACTGTTAAGTTATCCACAACCCATATACTATAGCTATATATGGGGCATATGATTTTTATAAAAAGCTTTAAGAAAAAAGAAAAAAGGGGCGCCTGGGTGGCTCAGTTGGTTAAGCGACTGCCTTCGGCTCAGGTCATGATCCTGGAGTCCCAGGATCGGTCCCGCATCGGGCTCCCTGCTCGGCAGGGAGTCTGCTTCTCCCTCCGACCTTCCCCCCTCTCATGCTCTCTGTCTCTCATTCTCTCTCTCTCAAATAAATAAATAAAAAATCTTAAAAAAAAAAAAAAAAGAAAGAAAAAAGAAAAAAAAGACTATTCCACAAGTATCAAATAAACGTAAGTGATTCAGTAGATTGGTTCTCCATAGGAAGCTCTCAGGGAGGTAATACTCCTAAGCAGATACCCATAACAATGAGGTCAGGGGTGTTCTAGGAGCCTGTAGGAGACACAAACTGTTTATGAATCATTACAAACCAGCAAAACAGGAGGTGTGGTTTCAGAAGATTTGCTTGCCTTAACCCAATATAGGGGTTTACTCTCTGAGTGCTCTAAGATACTCTGTAATAGGGTCACACAAACAGAAAACTGAATTTTTTGAAAAGGCATCAGACAAATGACATTGACTATGCTTATACGAGTGACATGGTGTACATGCACACCAACTAGACAGAGTGAAGATGACTAATCTATAGGGATAACACCAGGGACCAAATCATCAGTAACCATGACAACTCAAGTAGGTAGAGGGAAATACAAACACTGACCAGGCAGCGGGGTGACGCTACTCCTTCAGGTGGAGACCCTGGGGTCGGAAAAAGACTTGATTAGTGGGGGAAGCCGTGCGAGAATGAAACCGACTAGCCCCAGAGGACCAGTGTCCGTGCAAGAGGGCTCGGCGGTGACACTAACACTCCCCGTGGGCGGCCCGCAGGGGTCACAGGCTCATCTATAGGAGACTGGACGCCTGTAAGACTGAAAAGGGAGCTACCTGGTGCAGGGCTGTCAAGCCGTCCACGTTGACCGTGTTGATGTCGGCACCTCTGGCCAGAAGCTTTTTCACCTCGTCGGTGTCCCCGCTAGAGCAAGCGGCCAGGAAAACAGCACCGTCCTCGAAGCGGACCCTAGGGCTCCCGCGACGAGTCTGCGGCTGCCGCCCCGCGCCTCGTCGCTCCGCGGGTTCCTGCTCTGTCAGCGAGCCCCGCCAGCGCCGAAGCTGCTCAGCCCGCCGCATTCGCGCGGACTCTGCCCGCTTCCCGCCCAGGTGCTCTAGCTCCGCCATTGCTCCGGCCTCAGCAGCTGCTGCTGAAACTACCACCCCTGGATTGCTATTGCTGCCCCAGTTGCCGCTGCAGCTTCTCTCGGAGCGCTTCAGCCGGGAGCAGAAGGCGGAGACCCCCGCACCGCCATCTTTACTCCTCCCGCCAGTAGCACCGCCCGCACGATCCCTCGGCTTCAACACGCAGGCGCTGCCCGCGCCTCGGGTCATCACGGGACTCGTAGTGAGAGACGGGCCTTAGGGGCAGATCATGGCCTTGAGGGAACTACAAATCCCTGGATGCATCAGGGAAGAGGCGAGGACCGGCTGCTCCCTACTTCGCCGCCGGACCCAGAGGGGTCACCTTTGCCCTAAAGCTGGAACTGTGTCCCCGCCCGGCGTCAGCCTCTTCGAGCATTTCGGGAATTGTAGTTTATTCCTGTTGTGACTGCTGTCTAATCTTGGCTCCCTAATTATCACATCAGTCCTTTGCAGTGGAAAAGAGGCAGTAATTATCCCTATTTTCTATTGGGGAAAACTAGACATAAAGTACTCGAAAAACTCAAATCTACGCCCTGGTTCTAAATCTAAATCTTATTTATAATACCACGTATAATACATAACCGTGTATTAATCACAGTAAATGTAAAGGTGCATGGGGAGGAGGAGCATGGATACATATACTGCGTCCCATATTATACATAAATTCTTTCAACGAGTCACGTATATTTTAGGCCCTAAAAAGTCCAGGAAAGGATGCATCCAACGATAGTGGAAAGAATATAAAAGCTTTCAATTCAAACTGAATTCACATCCCTAAAGAAGTTACTTGATTTCCCTAAGTCTGTTTCCTGATTTGTAAAGTGAGAATAGTAATACCTCACAGAATAGTCCTGTGGATTAAATAATACATGCAAGGCTACCTAGTACTATACTTGGCACAAATCAGCTCACTCCTATACTAATTAAACACTAATTTCCCTTCTTTCTCCCTCCTCCTTCTCTACCCTTTTCATGGATCTTAAATTCTTAGGAGACAGAGTGGATGCCTTGTCTTTTGTGATTTTTGCCCCCAAAGTTACAAAAAGACAACAATGGGGCATACTAAACTCCTAAGGCAGAAAGCAGGACATTTTCATATTTACAGTTAACTTGGTTATAAAACCTGTACGATTGATTTAATACCTATACCCCCCAGGGCCATAGCCCTGGACAAATATAATTAAATGTGCTGTCCATAATGAAAGAGAACATATACAATTATTAGGTTCTGTAAGTTTTCAAATAGTCTTCTGTACGTTTAAAATTTTTCATTAAAAATTATTACAAGAGTGATTAGGACATTGTAAAGGGAACCTTTATTATATTCCATTGTGAACATTTGTGGGTGCTTCAACTTCCCCTGAGATGAACTGAGAATTAAATGAAAAATGACACGCAAATGCAAAATATGTTTAAGAATACCATGCCTGTCCACAATATGCTTTAATTAGGTATTCTTAAATACTTTATAAATCCTAATTTTCTTACTACAGAGTCTTTGTGAACAGTGAATAACAATGTGCAATAAAATAATCCAGATGTGGGGGCACCTGGGTGGCTCAGTTGGTTAAGCGTCTGCCTTCAGCTCAGGTCATGATCCCAGGGTCCTGGGAATGAGCCCCTCCTGCTCAGCGGGGAGTCTGCTTCTCCCTTTCTCCTCGCTTTGCCCCTGCCCCCGCTCCTGCACACTCTCTCTCTCTCTCTCAAATAAATAAAATGGTTTTTCAAAAAGATTTTATTTGACACAGAGAGCAAGCGAAACAAAGATTTTGTTTATTTGACACAGAGAGCAAGCGACAGAGCACAAGCAGGGGTAAGGGCAGAGGGAGAGGGAGAAGCAGGTTCCCTGCTCAATCCCAGGACCCTGGGATCATGACCTGAGCCAAAGGCAGACGCCTAACCGACTGAGCCACCCAGGCGCCCCAACATAATGGTTTTCTAATAAGAATTTTTAACTGGGGTAAAATTTTCAGGGATCAATAATGTTACATTTCTTTTGGCTATATTATTTTCACATTCAGAATCAGGGAAGAACTATCTGGCTCCAGTTGTATAAATAAGCTAAAATTGGCCAAGTCCAAGTTAAATCCTTCTATTTGTAAGAGGTAAACTTAAATTTCAACAGGATGAATTCAATCTCAATACTAGGAAGTTCCAGGAAATACTTCCTTACTATGTCTATTTTATTTGCTTCCCCTCGCCCCCAAGGTTGTTAGAGTATATAATATCCTCTTTGGAGATTGTCCTAAGTTCCTTGGATAATTTAAGTGCATCCCTACCTGGAAGGAGAGGAATTTATCTTCAGCTACATGATTACAAAAAGCAGTAATAATTATTATAATCCAATTAATTTAACTGGCTCAACCAAAAAAAAGTTATGCCACAAAAAATAAAACAAAATTAATCTGTGTATAATGGCTCAAAAAGTTTTTCAAAATTAAAATCATGGAAGTTTTTTTCTTAAACATCTTCCCCCAACCAGGGCTTTCTGAGAGTAAACTTATATAATCAGCCCATTAAACAAACGTGATAGTTCAGATTTACTAAATAAATACTCTATACTAAAGAAAATCTTTTATACTCAAGTTGAGTAAATCCTGGCAAATAATCCTGTGTATAAATAAAATATAATTTTTGTGCTTTTAAATGTACTAAGTGAGCCGGCTATGATGCATCTATATTCTTGTGTGAAGAAACTTTTGTTAAATAATTTCCCACACATACACTTAAAAAATAAATCACAATATAAAATGATCCCTTTTTAAAAGCAATGACACCTGTACACAGGTAACGAAAAATTTTCAGCCCGGCCTCTATTCTCACCAGTTGACATACCTCCCTCTGGTGGACAAATGGAAACTGTACATTTAGCCTGTGGAGTTCTTTTTACCTTTTCTCTTTTATTCAATCCTTTCAGTTTAGTTGCCAAAATTATTGGTATTTGCTTGTTTTACGATACCATCTCTCCTTTCCCAGACTCAACACAGTTCCTGCTTTTTCTGAGACATTTTTTTTTAAGATTTTATTTATTTATTTGACAGAGAGAGACACAGTGAGAGAGGGAACACAAGCAGGGGGAGTGGGAGAGGGAGAAGCAGGCTTCCCGCGGAGCAGGGAGCCCGACGTGGGGCTCGATCCCAGGACCCCGGGATCATGACCTGAGCCGAAGGCAGACGCCTAACGACTGAGCCACCCAGGTGCCCCTCTCAGAGACATTTTAAAGACTCGTTTCTCAGAGAACCACCCAAAGAAGTGATCAGTTTCAGTTCTGAAGGCAGAATTGTAATTGAAATACAATTACATTTGGGGTAGGAAGAAAATAAAGAAGACGTTGAAGGAATTAGAACAAAATATCCATAGTAAAATAAGCAGCCAACTCCAGATTTATGACAGAAAACACTTCTTTACAATGAGTAAATATTAACAATAAATGCAAAACCCCAGCAGCTAACTGGAAATTAGATTGGACAGTCCCAGGATTCCTTACGTTTGTAATTCATAAGCTACTTCAGCTGATTCATTCTTACAACCAGTGTGCGGATCCCCAGGTAGAATCATGGACAGAGTGCTAGTGAATGTGTGGATATCTGGAGGGGAGGTAACATACATGCAGTGGGCTCGGGGAACCAAGTGCTACTTAACACCAATGTGGACTAAATGCAGAAATCACTAGAGTGGCCAGAAGTATATTGGTTTGCAAGTTTAGAAAGACTGGCCATTACTCCTATGCCACCACTGTTCCAAAGCCACACAATGAGCTGAAAGCAGGGAGATGAGGGTTTGGGGGGTGTGTGTGGTGGTGGTGGTGTTTTTCCACCCACAGTATTCCCAAAGGCTAGTCAAGTTCCAGCCGTGTCCTTTAGATTCATTTCAGGTCCGAAGTCAAGGCTGGTTTAGCCATAAACGGGTACTTCCTTCATCAAGTAGTACCACGCTTTTAGAGTTGGAAGGCCCCAAAGCCATCTATTCTAAACTTCCACCCACGCAGGGATCCCCTTTGCACTATCCCTAATTAACTTCCCCTTGAACACTTGCAGTGATGAAGGAATTCACTACGTCCCAAGTTCACCTGTTCTGTTCTTCAGGGTTCTAATTGCTAGAATGCTTTACTGGGCTAAATTTTGCAATCCTTTAACTTTCATCCATTAGTCTTAGATGTGTCCTCTGACGCAGTAAAATTCTCCAGGTGAAAAACACTTAAATGAAGAGACGTATCACGCAGTCCCTACTCCAGTTCAAGTATTTCCGGCTCCCTTCATTGTTCCTCCTCTGAGGCGATTTCCAGCTCCTTCCCCGCGCTGACAAAGAAAGCTGACATCGTAACCCGACTTGTCACCTCAGGGCCACACCAAATGATGCAGCCCGCCCAAACCGGCGGGAACCTCCACCCTGATCAGCAGCTCCGCGTACGAGGGGGCGTGACTACGTCTGACGCGCGCTCCAATTTGAAAGCGGCGTGAGCGGAAGCCGGGCTCAGAGCGCTGCCCAATAGGGGGCCGCGCTCCTCCACCGGGCGTTGCCGCGGGCCAATCGCAAGCCCCTCGTGGCGGAAGGCGGAGCGACGCCAACCGTCTGGGCGTGCGCAGGCGTGGGTAGCTGCTGGGCCGCGCGTCGCTACGTTGTGAGGTGAGTACGCCCAGGTAAGAGGGTAGTTTTCTGGTTCCCCAGCGGAGAGAGCGCATCCCGGCGGTGGTCCCTGTAGGTGTCAGGGACCAGGAGTCCTGTTTCTGTTTAATGTGGGAGTTTCCTGTCTTCGGAAGGGAGAAGCGGCTGTTGAGCGGAGGCTTTGCCGGGATCTCCGCAGCTCGTCGGCGGCCAGAGCTGCCCGAGCCGCCTGTGCCCCGCAGGGAGAAGTGTGTCCCTGGGAAGGAGACTCCGCTGCCCTGCGCTCGCTGCGGGGCCGCGCACAGGCCGTTTGCCTTTTTCACCATCTGGTCCAAAACCCACGTTTCCAACACTAGTTACAGGGCTGCATACTGGTATCCTAAAGCATTGTCTGTAGGCATTGTTGACTTAAGAATTTTTAAAAAAGAAAGAAATTACGAAGACTACACCCGCCCTCAAGGGATTTTCGCCCCACGAGAAGAAGCTGTCAGAGATGAATAACAACTCCCGGTGCAAGTTGGTG